CCCAACCCAACCCAACCCAACTCAACCCAACCCACCTCAACCTAATCTAACCCAACCCAGATCAAACTAACATACACAAGTATACTATATCTTCTTATCGATTTCCATATCAAAATGAATTTCCAATACATTATAATCCTAAAAAACTCAAACTTCATCCACCTTCACGCAGTGAATTGAATTTCCAGGAAATTTATTTTATGAGTATTTTATTTGAATTTCCTGGAAATTGGATATTACCATCGCATGGAGTTTAGTTAATCCAATCAAAATCTAGCGAATACCTCTATTGTAAGTTGTATTAGTGTAATAGACACTGATTGTACTAACATGATTCACGATAGAGGGACTTATTAACTTCTTATTGGATAAATCTGTACATATTGAGTTTTTTCTATTGAAAATCTCTTTTTCTCATATATATTTAATCTAGTTGATATCTGTCTTGGCGATCACAGTAAGATAGTGCAAATTTGGAAAAAAATATCCAAACTGTTTTAGAATTTTCTTATTCATTTAAATAAACAAACGAATGAAATATATTATTATAATACTTGTTGTGAATATATAGGATTCATTGTTGACCTTAATGAAGTATTCTTTAAATGAAACTACAATGTAATCAAATACAAGCGCTATTTTTTCCAACAGAAAAAACCATATCTTTATTTCCTTCTTTAAAAGAACTGTGAATTTTTCCTTCAGAGTGTTTTTTCTGATGCAATGCCTAGCTATAAATGCTGTATTTTGAAATCAATAAAAATCGAGAAAGAATAAAAAACGTATAAAATTAAAATGATAATGTGATAACATAAAATGAAAAATCAAGCCAAAAGAACATTCAAACGAATATATTCAGTAGTGAAAAATCGATAAAATTGAGAATCTAATTGTTAATATTGATGAAAGTAACGTAAAATAAGACAAAAGCAGATTAGATCTTATCTTTAAGAAACATAGAATACTAAAGATTTTTAGCTATGAGAGAAGATCGAGTTTTACGAGCCACATGGCCGGCAATAGAAAAGACACTTTCGCCAGGCACGGAGCTAGCTGGTACACATCCATAACGGCGCGCCATTTTACTTAATATTGGAAGATTCTTTTCATATGTTTTCCAAAACGTTGCGAATGAATGTTCTTTTTTCTCAAGTGATCGTACTTAGCAAGTTCTTGTTTTAGGGTCAAACTTTTTGGTGTAGCTACTACTGATGGTTCATCAACAACACCACATTTTGCACCAAATAATTTAAATCGCTCGAACGTAGAGATGTTTGTCTTGCTTAAGGTTATATTTACAAACGAATCCGAAGTTGTTGTGGTCATGCCGTTGTTGTCCGCAACATTTTTTTTCATAATAAATTTGGTTATTAACATTTTTTTAACTGACACTTTCTCTTGATCATCCATAAGTTCATATACATTTGGATCAAGAAATGCACAAATCTGTCAAAGAAAGAGAGACAAATAATAGCAAGTACTTTATGAGAAAAGTGTGTTCACTAAGTATGTACTTTCAACATTATACTTACGTCTGACCAAAAGTTCTGCAATTTAAAAAGAAAAAGTTAAAGAAAAAGAGAAAGTTCGAGTTTTATTTTATTAAATGTTCAAAATAGTCTCCATGATTATTTATACAAAGTTCCATCTTTTCTAACAGTTTGTCAAAAGTTTTTTTTATATTCTTCTTCTGGAATATTTTTCACCACCTTGGATACCGCACGAGCTAATGATTTTTCATTTAGTTGATCAGTTAAATTATGCTTGATGCAATCATTTAGCCAATAATCACACGGTACAAGGTCAGGTGAATATGGTGGATGTGGCATTATATTGATATCTTCTTCTGTTAAATAATTAATAACATCAGAATGAATATGGGGTCGAGCATTGTCGTGAAGCAATTTGATACCTTTTTTATCTGCTGACCTTCTTTGTTTCAATATTTCCTTGACAACGAGCTTGAGGCAATTTTCAATATAGTAGTTGTGATCTATAGTCTTGCCTTCATCAACACAATGTATAAGAATGGGACCATTCGATTTAAAGAAAATAGAAAATAAATTTTTTTATTCAAATTTGCTTCGACGAACTACAGTAGTTGGTGATTCACCATCGCCGACCCAGGTTGCGTTCTTTGACTTGTGATGAATCTATCTATGATAAATTCACGTTTCATCACCTGTTATAATATCACATAATCGCCAGGAACCAGTTTGAAATTTCGCCAAATTTTCACGACAAAATTGAACTCCTTGTTGTTTTTGTTCATCAGTTAGTTCATGGGGTACCCAACGAGATGTAACTTTTTTCATTTTGAGACAGTCGTGGATAATTCGTTCCATTGTACCGTGAGAGAGAAGTCTCAGCTATAATTTCATCATAAGTTGAATGTGGATCATTACTGATAACTTGTCGAGCCAGTTCAATATTTTCATCTGTAAGTTTGGATACTGGACGACCAAATCGAGGATCATCATTGATTTCTTCTCTTCCTTCACGAAAACGTTTAGCCCATCCTGTAACTGTTGTATATGATGGAGCGTTGGGTCCCAAAGCTGCTACAAGTTCTTCATGAATTGTCTTTGGATCTATTCCCAAAATAGTTCGAATTTTATATAATATCGATTGAATTCATTATCCATTAAAAAAATTTGTTTTTTGGTTCAAACGAAAGTTTATCTGAAAAAGTACTATAACTAAGTCCAAACTAGATTTACTATATATGTTATTATAGACAACACATTCCACTGTTTATTCATGCAAGAACCTCTTGAATGTTAACTGGTTTATAAAATTGCCAATAACGATTGCAGAACTTTTGGTCAGACCTAAGTATTTAAAATACACTAGTAGCATTTATTTACTAAAATGCTCTTCGTCGAGTATAAAAAAGAATCTTATGGTCATATCCAAGTCAAGATCGATACTGTGTGCATAGTAAGTTTAATAGCAAATTAACTGTCTTATTATGACTAAAAAATTCGTTGTAAACTGACGTATCGTTAGTTGTTTTCTATTCTTTTAATTATTACACTCGAAAGATAAGAAAAGATAGTTTTTTTTCAAAATATACGGTTCAAAATTACCTACATAGAGAACATGCAAAGAAAAATGATCAAACTTTAGTGGATCATCATTGAATCTCATGAAGTTTGATATATATAATTTATACATATTGAGTAGTTGAAATAAACTCATGTCGTAACTAATAGTTATTAATTTCAATGCTATTAAAATCTTGTCACAACAAATTCCTAATCAGGTTTTCTTTATATAATGAACATGAATTCTTTCGCTATTTTCACGATTGATGTTGATTCAATAGGGATATTATAATGACAATGATATATTTTCCAGATGATAGTGTGTTACTTGATATCAGCCATTTTCTTTCCAGTGCTCTCTAAAGATGTGCCTTTTTCTCACTCTTTACTTTTAAATACAAAATATTTACATGGTAAATATTTTAAATAAACAAATTTAAATACATCTTTTATAGTAGTTCAATGAAAACCTCATTTTTTTAAAAATATTTAAGTATACTGGGTATCATGCAATACAATAAATCGATTGTTTCTGATGAACTTTTCATTTTTCAGAGAATCCATAGGTTACTGAAAGATTTATATGCATCCCAAAATACTAATGTACTGTTACTGTGTGCTACGTCACAAAATACTTCCATTAAAGAAATTGACTTATCTATGTACAAACAAACGAGAAGTGAACCGTGTAGAAAAAAGGAAGATTGTAGCAATATAGGCATGATATGTATACTTGTATATGTTTGTCGGTGTAGGAACACAAATGAAAAAGTAATTGAATGTATAGTTACTACTAAGTATATCAAGGATATAGATGAACCATGTTAAAAAAATAAAGAATATAAAATGAACAATCTATACATGTGTCTAAGCGATGTTTCAGACTCATATAGTGCATGCTAGTATTGCTTTAGTACAGTTTCATTGTTCGCTAAACCTTTCAACATTAATTGCTAAAAGTAAGAGGAGCTGCTGTTTTGTCTAAAACTATGGACTTATATTTAAGACCCTACCAATAAGAGATTATGCTCTGGTGAATCAATTGGATGATTTATATATTGATCAAATGTTTGATTTAATTCATGTTTAATTGTTTATTCAATACAGTTCGTTGTGGTGCGTCGAAGATAACGATGAAGTGAATCAATAACAAGGTAAGCTATTGCATATGATGGATATCCGGTTCCAGATAACATATCTGAAGCGTCAGAAAATAAGGATAGTGCAGAATTTAAAATTTGCATAATCTCCCATTGCTCATTTGAAAATTGTAATTGAACTAATGCTTTTTTTCTGTCTGGGAGGAATACCTTTACTTTCATGTAATTGATCCATTAATTGAGTTAAAATCGATTAATAATCAATTAGTTTGGATAACATTTTGTATGTGGTGTTCCATCTGATGCGAATGTCAATAGATAAATTACCTTTAATTGCTGGACTAGCAAGATTTTGCGTCAATTCATATTAAATGCTGGATTTGTTGATTATATTGACGATTGTTCGACAAATTTCAAGTATATCATTTATTTTGTTAATATGAAAAGAATTATCATATATTGGAATATTGTCGGTGTCTATTTCTTCATCAGATGAACTAATATCCATAGCATCTTGCGGTGCTTCGTCATTATCTTCTTCTTTATCCGAATTTATTTCGTCTTCATCATTACTAAAGGTTAATGTTCTTTCTTCTTCTTCTTCTTCTTCCACAAATTCATCATTTTATTGTTCGTCTACATTCAATCCATTATTTGAAGCTTCATTATGTTCAATAACATTTGACTTTTGATGTTCATTATCATTTTGTGAACTAAAAAATAAAATTTGCTCTTTTAAAAAGCTAAAAATTTTTTATAGGTTGTAAAACTACAACGTCAGCTAGTGTTGTTAATCTACTTATGGTCTCCTTTATCCTAAGGAATAAGTATAAAGAAAATCTATATATTTATACACTAAATGTAAAGAAATCCTTTACTTCTGCAAGATAAATATAAATCAACAAATAAATCTTTATTATTTAAAATAGAAACATAAAGCCATTATATTTGTACAATAAAGATGGATAAATTCTTGATATACAGTTTATAAAATGAAGGTACAATAAGTAATAGAGCATTGTGTTTTTGATTAAAATCCAATTTTTAATTTTTAAAATGTAGTTCCTGACCAATTATGATATCATATAGACAAGTTAAATACATAGACATTTGTTTGAAATATTTTTTCACATAGTAGTTTCGGTTTTTCAGTATTATTACACGTCGAATTGGTTTTCGTAGGAAAACATATTGATTAAGGTACCCTGCTACTACATTTAATATTTGTCAAATTATGTCTCACAGAATAAAATCTTTTTATTTATTTTATTTCTTATTGTATTATATACAGATTTGTTTTATTTTTCTTTTAGAAATATTAAGATTGTAGTTATACCTATTACATCAAAAAAAGATAAAATAAGATCCTAATGACAACACAGTTGGTAAATTCTGCTCTGTGTCAATTTGAACTCTTAAACTTTTCTCATATCTCTAGAAATAATATCACTGGTCAGTCTTTTTAATCTGTGGTGTATTAACGAACTGCTATTTTCGATTTTGTAATATACTTCTGTCATTTATATATCCATAATCTCAGGTTAACTTTTTCGTTTTCAAATGTTAATTAAATTACCCTTTTGAATCTATTGATGTGTCTTGTTTTTTATTGTCTTTCCACAAGTGAAGGCCATTTTTAACAGTTAAGTTCAAACCATGACATAAGCAATATAATCTTAGACCAAACATTTTTGATCGTTGTGTAGCTGCACGCATATCACGACCATTGTCAGTTACAATTACAACAATTTTTGATTCAAGTTCAAACCTTAATTAACGAAAATAAAATTTCATGAACTTAGAGCAACATATATGATGATGTCTATTCTAGTCAGATGTCTCAACTGTTCTTTGAATCATGTAGATTTTACAATATATGAAAAAATATGATACTTTATCAATTATAGCGCTCATGCAATGCCAACGATTTTGGGTTAAAATACTTTCACCTAATTATAAACGTATTGCTGATTATCAAGTCTTTCTACTGCAAAACTCATGTACTTAATAAACATAAAAGTACACTAAGCAAAAAATGAAGTATGGAACTACTTTAAACATAATTTATCTTTAAATTAATTAACTGATATATCGACGATTACATTCGTCATTTTCAGAACGACATACAGTACAATATGTATAGATATATAGAGTACTCAAATCTCATATAATAACACTCGGTTCGAGATTACTTTTTGCTGTCACAAGAACGAATTTCTGTGAAGTCTCAAGACTTAGGAAACATCTTATATAGATACACATATATCTATAAGTGATGATAGAAACAGTGACAGAAAAGAAGCGAAAGACATGATCCAACTGCTGATGGGGAAATCTTATACATAAAAAAATCAAATCCTATATAAAAAAAAATAATTCATAAGTTATTGTAACGGATATAGTAATATCTTAGTCTCATTCAATCTCGGTCAGACCTTTGAAAATCAGCACTATTGTTAAAGATCTCGTCTGATTCATTATCTGATACTATGTAATGGAAACTTTACATAAATAAATATCCTTCTGATTGTGATATAGAATAACTTTTATAAAATAGATCAATTTTAGCCAATGTTTTTATTGTACGATCACTAGCACCAGTAATTCTATAATAAGAAAGGATAATCAGCTAATTACCTATTGACAACACGAGTTAAATGTCTTCGAATTCTTCTCGATAAGTGTCGACCATGAAACCGTCTAAAACTAGGAACTTTGGATACATTACGATAATTTAGATCAAGATAATGGACCGTAACACATAGATAGTGATGTTTCTTTGGACGTCTCCATAAGTCGGCCATTAAACAAACATAATGTACTTGTTTTAATTCTTC